GGATAAACTATTTCATATTTACCTATTTACCTATAGGAGAGTGATAAAAGAGTTAGGAGAATAAAAGATTGGCTTGTTTGAATATATCTTGATTTTTACATTTTACTCTGCAAAGAAATATTCCACATAAGTATTAAAAAAAACAATAAAAAGTGATCCCCAGTGATCAAAAGTAAAATGAAATAAGGAACCTACATGTGTGTCCCAGTGGCACCACTAACCACACAGAGACAATTGCAAATGACTCTAAAGTGGGCTATCTCTTAAGAACAAAAAGAAACACAAAGAGGTATAAACTATGGTTAGCAATCACTTGTTGACAGACATTTACTTCTAAGCCTGCTCTGTGCTTCCATGAGAAGAAAGTTACTTTGGAGCCATGTGACATTTTTCAAGTTGGGAGAAAGAGGACATGCTTTGGTAGGCTCAAGTAAAACTCCTGGATCCTGTTTATTAGGAAATATTAGGATGAATTCATTATTTATTTGATCACTAAACAATAACTCTCTCTCCCTCTGTGTCCACTGAAAAGACCTAGAAATAAAAGCCAGTCCAAAGCAATGAGCTCCTAGCACCAAGAGCATGAGTCCAAAACACGACTTCCTGTTTACAAGAACCAGGCATCCTTGGAGAAATGGCGCTTGCCAACTGGAGGCAGGAAAAGTAGAGCGGCCCTGGAGCATCTGATCATCTTGGACAGCCAGGAAGCTAACAGAGATGACTGGGCCTGTGTCACAAGGATCCAGGCACCCACATGAAGAGGCTCCCACTAGTCACGAGTGAGACCATATGCCCGTCATTATGCACAGTACCGCAGCGCACTGAAACCTTAAAGGTTTGTTTCAATTTGTGTGTTCAGGATAATAATATAAAAAAAATATATTCATAGACTGGGCATGGTGGTGCGCACCTGTAATCCCAGTGCTTGGGAGGCTGAAAAGAGGAGGATCACCAGGAGTCTAATCTACATAGCAAGACCCTGTACACCCTGTACTAAATACATTTTTTAGAAATTCGTTGAGCTCTTCCCTTTTGCAGCCATCACTGGAGTTGCAGTGGCCAAAATGAAGTTTAATCCTTTTGTGATTTCACACTGAAGCAAAAACCGTAAAAGACATTTCAAGGTGCCTTCCCACATTCGCAGGAAAATTATGTCTTCTCCCCTTTCCAAAGAGCTGAGACAGAAATATAATGTTCGCTCTCTGCCCATCCGAAAGGGTGATGAAGTTCAGGTTGTGCGAGTACACTATAAAGGTCAACAGATTGGCAAAGTAGTCCAGGTTTACAGGAAGAAGTATGTATCTACATTGAACGGGGGCAGCGGGAAAAGGCAAATGGAACAACTGTCCACGTGGGCATTCACCCCAGTAAGGTAGTTATCACCAGGCTAAAACTGGACAATGACCGCAAAAAGATCCTGGAACGGAAAGCCAAGTCTCACCAAGTAGGAAAGGAAAAGGGCAAATACAAGGAAGAAACAATTGAGAAGAAGCAGGAATAAAGTCCTCCTGTGTGCAACTTTTACTTAAAAATGCTAAAACGAATAAATAAATAAATAAATAAATAAATAAAAATTCATTGATATCTTTGGAAGGTACTAGAGATCCAATCCATTATTCTGAAAAGCAGTAAAGGAAACAGATAAGCATCTATCCTGCTTTCTACACAAACTGTATCTCAGGTTAGCAAATAACCAATGAGAGGAAGATTCTCTTTTTTAGAAATGTTCTCCTTAATAAAGAAAGACATAGTAAAAGAATTTTAAATATTGCTACTTTGCAATATAAGTGTCATTAATGGTTCTTAAAACGTGAGTATCGGTGAGACGACCCAGGCCACGGGATCCTGAACAGACCCAGAGCACAGGCCCAGCGAGTGAGTGAGATGACCCACACTGTGGGATCCTGAACAGACCCAGAGCGCAGGCCCAAGTGAGTGAGTGAGACGACCTGGGGCCCTCCAGATTCCGGAGCGCAGGCCCAGTGAGTAAGTGAGACAACCTGGGACCCGTGGATCCTCATTCGACCCAGGCTGCAGGCCCAGCAGGGAACCCTTCAGCAGAACTCCCTGCAAGGAGGCTAGAGGCAAGACCCACCCAGCTGATTCAGGAGCAGAACATCTTGCCAGAGAGACACAAAGGGTTCAACTCTAA